TTTGCTCTGACAGAAGAGCCCAGAAGGATTAAATCATAGCGACCTCAGTATTAAGTGTGCCAGATGCTGTGCTGACCTCCACACACATTATCTCACTTAATCTTCATGACCTGCAGAATTGAGTACTGTTATCATCTGCCTTTACAGGTGAGCAAACTGAGGCTTTGCGGTTATGCAACTCTAAGACCCCACAGCGGAGTATGTTGAAACCACAACCAAATGTTGCCTCTCCATGGAAGATAATCATTGCCTAACAAGACGTTTAGCATACTACAAGCTGTCAGTAAATACTTATTAATGATAACTCTTGCTGATTAGGAAGAATAAGGGCTGCACTGGATTGATAGAGGCCTGGCACTAATCACCTGCATACTTTTGGATTAGTCTTTGAGTCACATTGTCCTTATCTGAAAAGAGGACTTTAGATGCTCTTTGGATAACAACATAAGCAATAAGTTATATGGCGAGCCAACATTTAAGTCCCGCATCAAGTCTAAACCAAAGTCCCCACTGTCACTCCGACCCAAATTCCAGCTGTTTGAAATTGTCTCTTTCTCCCAAGAACAAAGATAATATGGAGGCTGGAAAGACTCCCTCCAGAGTGCCTATGGCTTGGGTAGTGAGGAAACTGCCATTAACATGCGCCACATTTGCCATTCCATTCTCAGTGACCAGATGATCTCATTTGTCTCCGTCAAAAACAGTGCAGCCATTCCTGACTTTAAAGGAACCCACAAACGATTTCCGTCTTTGCTCAGCCTGATGGCTCTTTCCTGGCAACTGAAAGGCAAAGATCTTTTCTACCCAAATCACCACATAATGACAGGAAAAAGATGTTCGAATGTGCTCAGAGCAAAACCATAATCTTGGATGTTTTCAAACATTCCTTTTTTCTTTCCTTTTAAAGAGAATCATTTTTCCCCTTTAAAGGCATTAAGTAAGAGTACTTGGTCAGAAATTCTTGGACCGTGAATTGGTTGCTTTATAGCCATTCTTACCCTACCCTGACCTTCCCCATTTTTCATCTTTTTCTCATCACTGTCAGCTCTCAGACCTGTTTGCTCTCTTCTTTCATCCAGACTCTGTAAAGCCTGCCTCCTCTGGGCCACTGCCCTAGCCCCTTCAGGCAGATGTGAGCCATTTCTGTAAGAATAACTTATATAAGTAAATGACCAGTGTAACTCTACATCATGTTCAACCACAAGAATGGGATCCTATTTAGAATAAGTTATACTTCATGTATGTATAAAATGTTAAAATACACTTTACTGTCATGTTTATCTAAAAAGAACAAATAAAAAATGTACTATGAAAAAAAAAAGCATTATTCTTGAAACTGAGGCCCATGAATTCTCCCCTTTGCATTTTCTGTACATAGCAGAGTACCTGATCCAAGAGAGCCATCAAACATACTTGGCAAACAAATGTTAAAAGGATGCTTCAAAATATCAAGGGAAACATTAGGTAATAGATGAAATAGAAAATAAATATTTTAATAAAAGTTATCACAGAGTATACAGCCAGACAGTAATTATACTAATGACCATTTTTCCTCTTCAGACTTCATGAAATGGGTCATGAACAAGTTCTGTGTAAATAGAAGGCAAAGATAGTTTATCTGGAAGAGAGAAAGATGGATTTCCTGAAAACCCAAATACATTTGCAGCAGAGCTTACCTGGAGCCTTAACCCAAATCCTACAAATGGATGAAAGGATCAACCCTCCCATCAACAAACATCCAGGAGCAACAGACTGACCATCGCTGCCCTAGATCTGAGAAATGAAGCAAGGCCATGGTCAAGTTACATGCCCCAGTAGGCAGAAGAAGGTTTCATGTATGAAGGTTGAGTTATAAAGTGATTCTGTTGAAAATAAATCTACAGAAGGAATTACATTGAGAGTATCACTCTTCTCTGACATTGGCCAGTTCTGTGGCCCTATTCAGACAAGGCTGTTTCCCAAAGAACAGATACCAGAGAGAAAATATGAGACTCTTCCACAAGTAACTGACACGGTGTGATTTGGTGGAGAGGGTACAAATTCAGTGAAGCCTGGCTTAGAATCCTAGCCTTTCCCCTTAGGAGCTCTTTGACTTGGTTCAGGCATCATCCTTCTAGAATAGAGTGTCGAAGTAACACTTACTACACATCATTAAAAGTAGGCATTTGGTGAGCATTACTCTTCTTCCCTCCAGGCAACAGACCACTAGAGAAAAAGAACTGATGGGGAAACTTCCCAAAATGGGAAGAAATTGGCCAGATTTCCAACTGAAGAAGCTTTATTATCAGCACAGATCAGTTTTAGAAAGGAACAGCAAAGACAGGAATCCTCAAAAATTGGGACCTCCGTGGAGTCATGCCCTTGAATTCTACAACTATTGATTAAGCATCACTATGTAGCAGGCATTGTTCTGAGCTCTGAAGATGCAGAGGAGAAAAAGATAGATGATCTCTGCCCTCAGAGAGCTCACAAGCAATTAGGAAAGACATACACTAAAGATGCATGTGCCATCGGGAACCTTAGGGTATCTGAGGTCTGGTCTATACTGTAAAGGGTGGTCCTATCTAAGAAAGCTCCATTGATTGGAGAATGAATGAATGAATGAATGAATGAATGAATGAATGAATATAAATAAAAATGATAGGTTTTATGTTTCTCATCACCACTCAAATTCCACAGCTGTTTCTTGCATGATGACAAAACCAAGTCTGGCTGTACAATGAAATTATAAAAAATATTATGGTAGGAAACAAATGCCTGATGAAAGGGTCAGTTCCTCCCCCCTCTGTCAGCCTTTCTTCAGGAAACTTAATTAACCCTGGGTCCCTACCTTTTTGGATTATAAATATCTGTCTCTCAGAGTCTGACTACTCCCTCTTGAAAAATAAACTCCCCTGTGCCAGGTTTTCAAGGCTAGAGATTTAACTGATGCCTATGAAAAGAGACATTTCTTCTCTGTTTCTGTTTTTTTTTTCTTAAAAAAAAAAAAAACTATGTTAGAAACTCTAAACAAGGCCTTTAGTCACATAGATTAAGATTTTTTTAAAAAACAGAAGGAAAAAAGCTCCAGTGATAGGATTGTCTAAGATGATGGCAAATAACCAATAAATGTTGTGAAAAACTTGTGGATCAGCACTCAGAATTTAGAGATTGTTCTCCTCTGGGTCTTCCAGTGTAGAACAAAATCTGGAGTTCTCCTCCTCTCTGAGTGCAGCTTGCTGCTTCTTGACCGGTCTGTTGCCTGCAACACTTGAATTCCTACTATGTGCTAAGCCATGTAGAAACAGAGATTTTAAAATAATATGAAGAGTTTCTGCTCTTTTAAGGCCTAAAACCCCACAGAGGAAGAATAAAATTAATTGTACAGGTGCCAAATAATATCATACATAAAGGGCTGCGGGAACAGGAGGAAAGGTGGCTCTGTTCCCAAAGGGAGATAACGAGCACACCCAGAGGACAGCCAGCACTGCAGTGGGTGGCAATTTTCCTGCTACCCCCCAAGCTTCTACACTGTGGATATAAGTGATGCCCGCAGCACCAGCTGGTATTGTTAACAACTTAAGGCATTAATGTAATACAGTGATGCCCTCAGAAAATAAATAGAGCTGATAGAGAAATTAACGTGTCCAAAAATAAATACATCATCTGCTGACTTGCTCACATCTCCTTCACACAGCGAGGTTTACTCAGAGCTAGAAAGTATATACCAGTAAAATTAAACTCATAAGTGATAGCCAGGGGAGAGGTCTATATCCCCTCCCCAACATCATGGACCAAACAACAAAATTACTAGAAAGGTAATCCGTTTCCAGGGCCCTTTCCACTTTTCTAAATATCTTCACATTCAGATTTCACTGGTTCTTCCCAACAAGTCTAGAAAGAAGTAGTACAGCTCTTTTATTCCAACAATCCCAATAAGGAAGCTGAGACTGGGGAGTAGGTTATTCCTAGAGTCAAAGGGATGAAGGGAATATTCAAACCCATGTTCTGATTTTCACCCTAATGATCTTCCCACACACTGGGGAAGTGCTTTTCAATGTATAATGTGCATATGAGGCACCTGGTAGTCAAAAACAGAATTAGATTCCTAATCTGGGGCGGGATCTGGGATTCTGCCTTTCCAGCTGCTCTGTGATGCTGATACTCCTGGCTAAAGAGCATTCTTCACAATGAAAGGTAATCCATGTTTCCCAGAAGAAATCATTTCAGCTGGCTGACAATGGATGAGTCTTCTTATTCTTCAAAATACCAAATAGTGTTCCTCAACCACGGTAGCCTAAGCAGCACCTATTTCCCTCTCACATTACTGGGGCCATGGAAGTCTTCTGTTATAATACATCTGTCCCAGCCCTTTCTCTTGCCTCGGTCTCTTCCAGTCCCTTTCTGCATCTGTCTCAGTCTATCCTTCTCCATCTCTTTCTATTGGTATCATTCTCATGCTTGCCCACCAAACCCTGTCTTTGAATTTACAAGAACAAGTTGAAGTGTTCTCCAAAACAATATCCAATTCTTTGATTTTTCTGGACACCAACTGGATATTCAACAAGTTAGTGTAATTCTGGCACTAACTACTCAAAGTGAGACCCCAGATTAAGGGCTCAGTTCCACCAAGCTACCCCAACTTCAGACACCAGTCACAAGTTCTGGGCCTCCCTTACTTGTGACTGATGGTTATAAATTACAAGTTCTTACAATCCCCAGATTTGACAATGTGCTAGAATAGCTCACGTAACTTAGAAAAGTGCTTTACTTACTATCATCGCGTTGTTACAAGTCATCCAACTCAGGAGCAGCTAACTAGAAGTGATGAATAAGGCAAGGTGTGGGAATGGGGAGGCATGGAGTTCCCAGGCCCTCTCCAGGCACACCACCCTCCTCGCATCTGGATATGATCACCAACCTAGAAACTCTCCAAACCCCATTGCTTAGGGTTCTGAAGGAGGGCTTATTACATAGGCATGATTGTTTAAATCATCAATCATTATAATGGAACTTAACCTCCAGTATCCCTACCCTCTCCTGAAGCTGTCTAGGGCCCCAACCACCCTTCATCAGCATACAAAATACACTCTCATTCTGCGGAGTGCAAGGATTTTAGGAGCTCTGTGTCAGGAACCAGGGACAAAGACAAAATATGTATCTCCTATTACACCACAGATGATTGTTCACACTGGCACTCTCCAACGTGTTCTGCCTTCTGAGCTGCCTTCCAGGGTAACGGGCAATGACAAGCCACCCTCATAAGCAGTCAGTCAATCAATATCTGTTCATTAAATACTCCAATGTGCTCAAGAGGCACTGTTTCAGGATGACTTGCCTAGAAAGGAGATACAAATTGGTTTGGGACAAAAAGAACACAGCATCAAGAATTAAATGAAAGGATATTGATGGGATTCGGGACACACTACTCCAAAATTTACCACCGTGGCATATTTTAAAAATGGGAAAAATGACAGAAGCAGAAATAGCTTTCTGACTTTCTTCTCTCTTCTACCCTCTTTAAAACCTAACAAGACTGTTTATGACCTTCCTATGAAGCAGGTCATGACTCCCATGTGAGAGGTCCCCTCCCCATGCCCAGAGAAAAGAAGCATCCTGCTTTCTAAAGATGAAGGAATGAAGAGACACAGAAAAGAATCTGAGCAATCATCCTGGCTAAGTTTTCCTCAATCTATTGCCAAAAATCACATCCCTCTCCTCTATCATATTTCTGCACAACTATACACTCTTCATCAAGCCCACGATAAAATGTACCCAGGTTTCCCTTTCTTGTTTGGTCTTCACGTCCTTATGAAGCCTCCTGCCTCACATAAAACTTTTAAAATAGATTTACATGCAGACAAGTTCCTTTGTTTTCAATCCCTGCCTACTATGTACCATCCCTGAGAAACACCACATACTCCAGGTAGCTCCACCAAGTGACACATAGCTTACAGTACAAAGAGTACTATTTAGAATTCTCTTAGCTTTGAAAAGCATCTTCCTTTGCTTAGAATTTTCCTTCTAAACATATGCTGGCTACTTGTGAAGCTGCCATTCACCTAGTTCAGCTTGCCTATTTTATTTTTGTGTATTCATCATTCACCATGGATAATTGATCAGGTGTTCTTTTGTGATCTTTTCTATATCCACTGCTCCCGTATGGAACTTTTGTGACATTTTATTGTGACTGTTACTCATCTCTTCCCAACAACTAAACTGTGAGCTCCTAAAAGATATATATATATAACATATATGTATGTGTATATATTTGTGTATATGTATTTTATATATACATGTACATTTGTATATGTAAATGTATATATGCAATAAATACATAGTATATATAATGATATTTATAAATAAATATGTGTAAATATATATATATTTAAACACCTTAGTGTTGTCATCATTTCTGGCATATAGCAAATACTCAGTAATTGTTAGATAAATGAATAAATAAATGACAAATGAATTGATAGATATCACAACAATAGACCCACCTGGGGCTACAGCAGGCTGGACAATTTTCTGAGGTTTGAAGTCTAAACCCACATTTGTTGGACAAATCATTTGGATCTGCAGAATGACATAAATAGCCAAGTCATAATGATGTTATGATGAAGAACATGCCTACATTCCAGTATGTTTCTAATAAATCCAGCCATCACTTGAATAAAAGTCAAATTCTCTTTATTAAATTTTTAATAAAATAATCCATATCCTTAGACTTATGGAAAACAAACTATAATGCTTATGGCCCAGTGGTTCTTCAATATAATGACATAGTAAAATCACCTGGAAAGTACAAAAACAGTGAAACAATTAGACACTACAAGTTCCCACCAATTAAAAAAGAAGCTCTTGGGAGGTGGAGAGAGAAGGAAGGATTTGAAAGAAACTCTCCAGGTGATTGGGATATGCAGACAAGATTGAGAACTGCTCTGTGGACCTTCTTCAAGAACTCAATGTGTAGGAAAACACTCCAAAGATTGGAGTGGACATAAGACAATGTGGTCCCCTCAAAATGAAAGTGACAGATCAGAGAAGTTCTGCTTTACAAAACTGAGAGGAAGGATAGGTCAGTTCACACAAAGGGAACCAAGTTTATGGCTTCCAGCAGAGAATCTACAATAGAAAAGTCGTCTTTATTTCTCTCATAAATTCAGGCTGGGACAGTGAGGAGCATTGTGGGGAAGATTCTTGCATGGGCCACCTGGATTTGGAGATGCCAAGTATTTGACTCTTCCTTCCGTATGGGAACTATATGAGGCACGAGTGGGTTGTGATTGCTCATATATGCCATACTGAAGTAATGTGAGATCTTGTCAGTCTTCTTCTGACAAGAGAGTCTCAATTAGCAGTGCATGTCAAAATCATCAAGGAAGTGTTCAGAATTTTAAAAAAAAAAAATTTCCCTGGAGATAGAACCCTTGTTTTTTGTTTGTTGTAACTTCTACAAATGATTTTCAGGGCTCAGTCTTGGTTAATTGGAACTACTTAGCATGAGCCAGCATCTGATATAAAACTGATTCACCAGTTCACCAAATGTAAGGGCAAATAAGAAAGTCAGGACCACCTTCTCAGTATACAGAATTTCTGTTTTCAGGTGGTTCGTCTCCAGAGGCATTTACTCCTAAATAAACCAAGGAGTATTACTTGGACACTTATAGGGCACAGGACTCCGTCCAGCACATGGAGTGCAAGCAGGCACTGTTCTGCTCAGAACTCCAGCATCTGCTCCACATTTTCAGATGGAAAGCAAGTATTTCCCATCTAGCTCTCCTGATTCACTCTTGGGAGTGTCATAAAGTCTGTGACAGTCTCCCCGCCCAAGCCAATAGAGTGGGTTGGCCCTTTATAATTACTAAGATTAATTTATAGAAATATTTAATGAAAATCTTTCAAGAAAGATTTTAGAAGGCTTGGAGATGCTGTGGATCGGAGCATGGCACACACTCATACCCTCCATGCCAATGGCCACGTGCCATGCTGTTTTAGGTCTCCATCTGCTGCTGGTTAGCAAAAATTCCATTCACAGCTGTCCAGATGAATCAAATGTCCAATTAGCATTTTTTTTCTCAGTGACAGGACTCTGACCAGAACAAAAAAATTTAAGACAGAAAGCATAACAGAGCAGAGCCTTATTCATATTCTTGCTGAAAACAGGGCTCTGTGAAATTCTTGAATGTTTTAGGAAAAAGTTATAGAAACTCTCAAAGTCCTCCAACAATGTGTTTCCCCCAGATGCAGTTCAGCTCAAAGAATTTTAGTTCATTATATGCGTGCTTTCCTGATGAAAAACCTCAGCCTAGTCTTTCCTGTTCCTCAATTCTGAAAGACCACCAGCACCCTAAGTTTGCCATCAACTACAAGTGGAAGATGGGGTGACTCTGCTAATAAAACCATCTCCTGTTTTCTGTCTAAACTGCTCAGGTGACAGCAAAATGAACTCAGCTTAATCTTCCAATTTCCTTAAGTGGCAAAAACCAGAATTTATTTTATATGTTCAAGTAGGCTAAGGTACTCTTCCAAATAAACTAATTCAAAAAAAAAATTGGTAGAACAGTCAAAGAGGCTATAGGTGTTGCCTCCACTATTTAAAACTGTTTCAAATTTTTTTTCCATTTCACACAAAATAAAATTGCTAAAGCCCAACACCTCCTAGCTTCTACCTGGGTCCCCAGACTCAAACAGTGCCCCTCTCCCCTTGGTCCACGTGCCCAGACACACCCGGCCTATTTCAGTTCCTTCTCTCAACTTCCTCTCCATCCCAGGCTCTGGCAATGGCTGCGTGTCCTGAATACTTGCCCCCACCCCTGTCCTTTAGAGCTTTATTTGCTCTGACAGTCCTTCCTCAGCCACATCGATCAAGGCCCACCTTCCTCCTGTTGACACCCTTATAATTCCCCATTTTCTTTCTTCCTCATTTTTTTCATTTTCTTTTTTTGGTAGCACTTACCACAGTTCGTAGTTTATCTTTCTCATCTCAGCATCTTCACTACCTAGCACAGGGTCTCTTAGTTAATAGCATTCTCACTAAATATCAGATATCTATAAAAATGAATGAATGAAAGTCCTGCTAATCCACACCATGCTCTTCAGTGGAGCAGACAGCCTTCTTTCCTCAGTGGCAGCCAATGCATAGGTCTCGAGGGCTTCCCTAGAGAAGTCTCCTTGTCTCTGAAAAGGAAGGGAAACTTTCAAGAGGACTTACGTCAACAATAACTGCCATTTGTATAGCACTTTGGAATCCACAAAGTATTTCCTGGGGCTTTTGCCCTATTTATCTTTCCTATAATATGTGGCGAAAATACTCAGTGCAGAATCTCTATACCTTCCTAGCTGCCCAAGATCACCAATTAATAAGGGGCAGAAGAAGAACTCAAAGACAGGTCGTCAGATACCTGATTTACTGGTCTTCCCTCCCCGAACCCTCTTCCTGCCTCATTATTCTCCCTGTCTTGCAGTCAAGTTACTCCTGCCAAAGTCTGGAGATGATTTTCAGAGGAATCTACCCTGAAGGAGAAATAATACAGTTTGGTTTCAAATTTGATTAAATGTACAGTTAAATTAGTTTGCTAAAGGAAATCCATTTTCAGAGTACATTTTTAACAATAAGCAAACACAATGCATATGTTAAAAAACAAAAAAATAAAATGGTTAAAAACAAACAGCACAATGGAGGAGATGAAGTAAACAGAGCGCCCTCTCTCTCTCTCTCTCTCTCTCTCTCTCTCTCTCTCCCTCTCACCCAGTCTGGAGTCCTTCCCTATCTGTCTTAATAAGGATGGTTGCAGGACTCGTCTGGATTCTCTTCTCTCTCAGGAGACAGTTGTACATCTGCTTTTCTTACTGGAAGTTCCCCCATGGTCAAAATTATGTTCCATTCACTGTCATTTCCCCATGCCAAAGTTGATTTTTTTGACAAGCTTCACTGTTAACATCGCAGCCCAGATGTTTCCATGGCAGCGTGTAAGCTGTGGCTGCAGAAGCAACCTTTCCCTCCCGAGTCACACTGGAATTTAAAGTGATAATTAGAGCCATTTTTAAAGTCAGCTAGGCTTCCTTGTTTATTTTTTTTTTACATAATGCTGGTACTGATTTTAATTTAAATAGTAAGTGTCTGTTTAAAATTATTATTTGGTTATTATTTTTTGTTCAAACAGTAAAGATAAAAATTAAGAAAGGGAAAAGAAGAAAGGCGGAAGACAGTAAAGGAGGGGGAAGGAGGAAATTAACAAGGATAGGAGGCAGAAACAGAGCAAAAGTGAAGAGCTATGTTCCAGGATGCCACTGTCTTGCGTTTTTAATGAAAATAAATTTAAAGATCCAATTTCTTTTTCGATATTAAAATACTCGGTAATTATAGCATTTCTCATTTCTATCAGCTTCCAATTTTGTTCTCAGCATGCCTAGGAAATTTGAACATGTTCCAAGAAAGAAGTCCAATCAAGATGTAACCGCTAAGGTCATGGGGAAGGAAACATTCACAGCAAAGACAGGGAAGACCAAAATAAGTCTCCCTAGGACATCGAGGCTATCTATATTTGCTTCTTCAGCAGTTCTTCTTTCATGTTTAAATGTTTGAAAAGGGAACCAAGCTCCAAGAGCAGCAAGCCAGCACGGCTGAGCATGCATAAACAGATAACTGTTGTCACCAAGTGCAACTTGCAGGAAACTTAATCTGCAGCATATTTCATAATGTTCAGAATTCTTATTAAGTTTGCAGGGTTGTTAACATAAATGGTGAACAGTTTATATGGAAAGGACAGAGTTACATCTACATTGTGAAATCCTTTTCTCTTGGTCTCCATTCTTTAGTGTCATTTGCAGTAGTATCAGTAATTTATCTTTAACTCATTCAATATATTCAGGACGCATAGATATGGACATAATGCGCGCGTACACACACACACACACACACACACACACACACACACACACACACACACACGGTCCTGAGGACTTTTATGCCCCATCCTCTTCTCTACCATGACTCAAATTTTCTACTCCCCTGCTAACCAACTCAGCCCTTTCCATAGTCTGCTCCTACAGTCTCCCAATCTTAGGAATACCTGATTTGTATACAATTCTCACCCCCAGGGTTTCTTAGATGCCTGGGAAGCCAAGAGAAAAGCAAATTAAATCTAAACAGTTTCAGAGTATTAGGGCTTGTGGTGGGTGCTTACCTATGAATGACCTCATTTAATTTTTCAAGAATCTAGCCAAATGCAATATAGCAATATGGCATTGCCTGTGTTTTATTAACAGAGAGGTTGAGGGGACTGGCTTAGGGTGACCCAGGTAGTAACTGGTGAAACTGGCCATGAATTTGGATTTCAAATTTCATGATCGTTCCATGGTATTACAAAAGAGTTCTTGAAAATGGGGTTGCAGATAGCCCTAGCTGTTTCAGACTGAGGGGGTTTAATAGGCATTGCTTATTTCTGACTGTTTTATCCCTTGGGATCCTTTTGTCCTCTACCCTATGTGATTCCATTGGAAATAGCAATTGTTGATCCCTCACTAATACCCTCTGTTCCTCCAGGGGCTGGGTACATGCTTCAAGGTCATTCAGTTTTGGAACTACAGTACTTCAGCCAATCTAAATACCAAGACAGGGGCACGAGAGCCAAGCAAGGTCTATCTGCACTCATCTCTGTAAAATGATGAACGAACTAGAAGGAGAAGGTTCATCTTTCCACTGAGTTGCGAAGCTGGAGCACTGTAATTCTTGAACCCCTGGAAGTTATTTCCTGGCTGTAGTTGAGAATAAGGTGGAAAGATCAGTGGACATGCTGGCATGCTCATTCACTTCTTTAAGCTCTTTCACGTATGGTTCTCTATGTCCAGAAAACTTGTTTTGCTTTCCCTCCAAAAAATATGTAGAGCTGACTCCTAATCTCATCTCACATCCTTTAGGAAATGTGTCCTCTTCCTCCATGTTGTTAGATGACCCTGCTGTATATCTAATAGCATCTCATGCTTGCACTCAGAATTGAAATTATCACCCAGCACTGCAATTACAGGATACTGACTTTCCTTCCCTTTACATGAAGACTCCTCATAAAGAGTAAATACATGAGGGTAATTACTATAATCACATAACTAAAGTAATAGGTACATAATAGATGCTCAGTGTGGCAGGTGCTTACCTTTGAATGGTCTGGATGGATGATGGAGGACCTTACAAGACTTTGAAAAATGTTTCCAAAATCCAAAAGCTCCTGTGAATTATCCTCCACAAACTGAGAGAAATGACTTCCAAAATTCCTAAAATCTGGGATTTCTCTGAAGTTCGCTGGGGGAAAAAACAAGAGCTGGTAAAACCTATAAACAGATGTATTTTAGCACAATATCTGAAATGAATTTTTATCAATTGTACACATGCCAAAATGGAATTGATTATTTCACAACCTGACTAGAGGTGTCCAAGAGAAAGTTGCTAGGATAATATGTCTCAGACGTCTGGTGATCTAATTCCCATATCCTCTGGCCTCCCTTATTTGTACTAAGAAGTCAACCATCAGTCTCTGCGGGACCTTTGATGATCATCTACTTTTTGTCTTCCTTTGACTGGTTTTAAGGTATTCTTTTTGTCTTTGGTTTTAATTGGTTTCACTGTGTTCTATATAGATATGGATTTCTTGAACATTTATAATTATTGGAATTTATAGCATTTCCTGAAAATTTGTATGTTGTTATTTGTGTGTGTGTGTGTGTATGTGTGTGTGTGTGTGATTTTTATAAAACCATGTTGACTCTCTCTTCACATATGCTCTGTCCCGTTTTCTCTTTCCTTTGTTCTTGGGAGTCCAGCAGCTCCATGTGTGCTAGACATTTCCACCGTGTCCCTCTCTCCTGCTATTTTTCAGTGCTACTCTTTTCTTGTTTTCTTCAGGATATTTCCTTCTGGTCCATCTTCCAGTTCACTAATATGCTCTAAACTGTGGATAATTTGATGTTAAACTATTTAGCACTCAATTTCAATTCTGGTATTATTTAGTTCCTTTATTTTTATCTCACTCTTTTCCATAGTTTCCACTCTAATTCTAACCCTGACCCATTTTGTCACCCAATTTCTCAACTATATTAAACATAGACTTCATACTTTATAGACTCCAACATCTGGGTCACCTGTGAGTCGACATATTTGCTCTTTGCTTTTTTTAAAAAAAAATTGAATCATAAATATTGTGTTTGAAAAAAATCTCAGAGATGACTCAGGGATATAAAAGATGTTATTTTCCTGAGGGAACTTGAACAGTCACAAGCAAAATCATCTTATCACCCTCACCTTCAAACTGGGCTTCAGTCTTTGCGAGAACTTGGATTAGTCTACTTTTTGCTACACCTACGTCTAATATATAGCCCTTGTAAGATCCCTGGTAAAAACTGTGATATTCATTTACTGAGTTAGTTCTCCCTAGTGGGACTGAAACTGAATTTTTGACAATGTCTCCCCCCATGAATAAAATGAAACCCCTCATTAGTTTCTCAGCCACCAAAAGACACCATTTAAGTTCAACTCTGCAGACTTTATTTTCTATGGGTTCTTGACTCCTCAAGTACTTACTGCTTTGTTAGTTCTCTACTGCTTTGAGATCTCTCTCTCTCTCTCTCTCTCTCTCTCTCTC